CCAAGATCACCGCAGATGGGGACTGCAGCCAAGAAATTAAAAGACGCTTGCTCCTGGGGAGGAAAGCTATGGCAAATCTAGACAGCATACTAAAAAGCAGAGACATCACCCTGCCAACAAAAGTGCGTATAGTCAAGGCCATGGTTTTCCCAGTTGCAATGTATGGATGTGAAAGTTGGACCATAAGAAAGGCTGAGCGGCAAAGAATTGAGGCCTTTGAACTATGGTGCTGGAGAAGACTCCTGCAAGTCCCTTAGACTGCAAGGCATTCAAACCGGTCAGTCCTAGAAGAGATCAACCCCGACTGCTCCTTAGAAGGCCAGATCCTGAAGTTGAAACTCAAATACTTTGGCCACCTAATAAGAAGGAAGGACTCACTGGAGAAGAGCCTAATGCTGGGAAAGATTGAGGGCAATAGAAGGGGACGACAGAGAATGAAGTGGCTGGATGGAGTCACTGAAGCAGTAGGCGTGAGCTTAAATGGACTCCAGAAGATGGTAGAGGACAGGAAGGCCTGGAGGAACGTTGTCCATGGGGTCGCGATGGGTCAGACACGACTTCACAACTAACAACAACTTTTCAGAAAAACTCTCTCTGAAGATCTAAGCAAGACAACTGTTCTTAGGCAAGAAATACTATTCTACCACCTACATTGTAAATCTTTTGCACGTGAAAAACATATTTCCTTTAAAAGCTTTTTTCTGGGCAGCACAGGAATGATTTATCTCAGCAAGTCTAACCTGGGGTTCTACTTTTTCTATTGGTATAATATGCACAAAACTTACAGTGAAAGCACATTGTGCCCAAGATGCTACAATTTCAAGGAAAATTGGAAAAACAACAGGGAAATGAATTTAATTTCCCCATTCCTATTGGAACTCTGCAAAGTTGTACTGATAAATCTCGGCATAATTTTTTTAATGAAGTAGGAATAGAAAAATAAATGCATTAAGCAAATGACATATGTGTTATACTTAATTTTTAAAAAATGCATAAAATGGGAAAAGTGCTCCACAGTTCCATGTCTGTCTCATCTAATAGTCATCACTGCTACACCTGTTAGAAACTTCTGGATGCTTGGAAATAACTTTGAAAATGAATAATCCCCAGACCAAGATTACCTTCAACAATGCACACATAGGGAAGTTATATGCCAGACATGTTAAAATTATCCACCAGTTTAAACATTCTATTAACTGAAGACAATGAGCAACTTTCAGAAGATATTATCAGAAAGGTGCTTTTTAGCTTATTAGACATACTATTTGGTTGTACTATTAGTGACTTGACATTTCACTAGTCTAGAGAAAGTCATAGGTGTGAGAACTGAGGATTCACGAAGAATGAACATACTAAGCTACCTGCTGTATAATTCTCTGTTCCATTACTTCTGACATTACTTGTACATGTATTGTGCCTGCCACTACATTAGCAGAGTGACACCAGAAGTGAGGATCTCTATAGGAGATGACACCATCTATGTTCTGGATCTGTAAAAGAAAAATGCAGGATAACCAGTAATATTCTATAATACTGTTCAATATTATGCTATTCCAAAGAATTAATTTGTATGAAATTATAGGCAATGTTACTACTAACCTTTTCTAAAGCCATGTGCAGATCTTTTTCATGTTCTTGAGGCAGTCTCAACAAGAGTACCTGGCAAGCATCTTTTAGTAGAGGGATAACACTGAGAAAAATCAATGTAGCAATAAATAGAGAACAGAGTGGATCGGCTATCAACCATCCAAACTGTTGAATGAGAATTGTTGATATGATAACACCAACACTGCCAAGGGTATCTGCCAAGACATGTAGAAATACTCCTGGAGTGGGAAGGAAACACAAATCATTAATACCCTTAGCAGTTTAGTGGTATGAACAATACAGATAAGTACTCCTATCAAGTACGCCAATCAATTTGTATCAGATTTAAAAACCTAATATCCTAAAATACTTTCATGATCTATTTTTTAAAAAACTTCATTTATTACACTTGTATGCCACTCAACTCCCAATAACTATGGACAGATCACAAGTAAAATTAAAAAAAAGTAAGAAATAAAAATAAAGAATAAAAAATAGCAAAGATGACAAGAACTGAACAAGAAGAAAAAAAAACAAAACCCCACAATCCAAAGGGGTTTGCCAAAGTCTTTATCTTATATGTGATTAAAAAAACCCTTTTACAACCCTATAATCCCTTAATTCAGAGTAGAGACTGGGAGACTGAATGGAGCTGAGTGTTTACTGGCTGGATGCCCTTCCTGATGGATGCCTTTCCTTATATTATCTTAGATGTCAGAGGTCCCCAAGGGACCGGTTCTGTGGAGAGAGGTTTTTCTGCGGACCGGAGGGGACGTGGTTTCATGTACTGCTTGCATCCCGTTTATGGGCCTTGTTTGTTTGTCTGGCCCAGTTTCTGGCATGCCGCGGCCTGGTGCTGGTCCATGGACCGGGGGGTGGGGACCCCTGTTATATGTCATTATATGGTAAATAAAAACTGAACTCATAAAAAATCCATTGTTTTCTACTTACCTCTCATATTGGTATTCATGTTGCCTCCTAACGATCCATGGCCATGTCCATGATTATGAGTGTGCCCATAGTCATTGTGGGAATGGCCATGGCCATGACCATGGCTGTGATGGGAATGACTGTGCTCATGCGCATGGCATCCTCCTCGAGAAGGCCCATGGGAATGGGCATGGCTAAAGGCACAGATACCAACAAGGTTTACTATCAGTCCTCCAACTGAAACAGGCTGCATGAAGGAGAACAAAGAAATCTTTATACTTTATTTAATACCATTAACTATGCCTAAGAAAACAAAGAACCCAGCCTAAAGCAACTTCCCCAAGTTGTTATCCTCCACTGGAGTTGGTTCTATAGATTCCAGAATTCTTAATAAAAATAGAATGAATATATTGCAACACAAATAATAGGTTTTGTATTCAGAGAATCATGATGCTGATGAAACTTAGCATCATGTAATGTAATGTTATGCAATTCTCAAGAATAAAGAATCATACAATCTTTCACTCTGCACAACTAAGAAACAGATGGAAGAGTGCAAGACTGTTATGTTTACAGTAGTGCTATGTATGAAATTCCTTAGCCATGTATATGTTCATTGTTAATATTAATCAGAGTTTGATGCTAATTATGATTTGGAATCAGCTAATTTCATTTAACTATCTAAATGATATATGAATGTACCCCTTGAGAACTCTTAAGAACAGTGGACCAACAGTCAAGCTTGACTGATTGATTCATTCATTTGATTTACAATGGCCACCTAATCACAATGCCTCAAGTAGTGTTAAGGTGGGTTAAAAACATCATTAAAACAAACAAAACAAACAATATAGGACTAAATACAAAAACAGCAACACATTGAAAAATATGAAAAAATTAAATAGCAACCATTCAAGAAGTTCACAAATTGCCCTGACGCTGACATAAAAGCCTAATGTTGGCACTGATTGTATGTCATTAAACAAAATTCCTTGCGTTCTGTAAAGGCGGATGCAGCTAAATCGCTTCCTATTTCAGAAGTAATTTAAATTCAGGCCATAAGAGAAATGCAGATTAGATTCCATCTACCACTGAATCATTGTGCCATCTGCTAACCTTCTTATGTTCCAGGTTTTAGTACAAAGCAGAAGATGGAATTTAGCAAATTGTGAAGCAGTTGCTAATTTTTATTATACAGAATCCTTTAACCAGGGGAAACCTGAGGTAGTTATCATAATATATAGTTCAGCCTGGACAGAAAAGATTAGGTGGAATCAAGTTATACCTTACATTTATTTTTGTTTAAGCAGGGCAACCATTGCATACATGGAATGAAGAATAATAGATTATTTTATTATTATACATTACTTGAAAGAGGCTGATTATTAATAGCCCCTTAGTCTTTATTGAGAGAAGGCAATTAGATTAGGTGGGTCACGGACACATAAACAGACATGTATTCTTTCTTTTACTATTCACATAATTCTCTCCCAACTTTCATCTTGAGAATGCACAATTCTGAATCCTTTTACTGAAGCAATGACAAGACACTAGGTTTTGTTTTTATTTCCAAAAGGAGAAAATGGCAATAAACAACTGCATTTTCTCTGCCACTACCAACAGAATAACACTGTCCATTTTTGCTATGAAGAAAGATGAAATCATGATACTTTATGCCCATTTACAGACACTTCAGTGTTATTGCTACATAAAAATAGTAGGATGGCAGTGGCTCTGGCACATAAAGGCTTTCTGAGTTGCCGGCTTGGTTCTACACTCTTCTAGCCACTTTTTCTCTGAAGGAAAAGCACCTTTTAAAATATTTAAGGTTGAAAATTTTGAGGCCAGCTAATTGTGACTTATTTTCATTGTCATAGGAAACTTCTATGAACGTAACAGGATCAGAAATGCTTGGAAAAGTGAATCCTGTTTCTACTGAATTTTAAAAATGCTTTAGAGCAGTATTTTTAAAGATAATAGAAAACAAAGTTACAAACTTACAGTCAACATATTTGTATCTATATCTGGAGGATCAACCAGTCTGGCCACCGACTCAGTAAAGACAAAGAAAGCTATTACCATGAGAAAAAGGCCGTTAATAAAACCTGAGAGAATTTCCACACGGCCAAACCTGTAATTGAGAAAACAATCAATAAGAGTATAGACAAAATATACTGAGATGTTCTGAATAAGCTGAAATTCCAAACTATTCTAAGACTCCAAGATTTCAAATAGTCCTTGCTTAACAATGCTAATTGGGACTGGAAATGCCACCATTTTTTTAAACAGATTTTTTATTTTATTTCAAAAGTTAAAATACAAATTCCAACCACCCTCAAAATACAAACAGAAAAGGAAACAAAAACAGACAAAACATTTAAAAATGTGCAGTAAAAAGGATAAAAGACAAAAACACATATACATATATATATATTATCTCCCCTGGTTGATTACTGATAAATATACTGCAACAATATTAGTTTCTCCCCTTGTGAAGCAGGCTCACAATTTATAAACTTCTACATCTATTTACAACCCACTTGGCCTATCCTCTATCTACTATACGTAAAAACAAAGTAGTTAACAGGTAAATCAACAGCAAAGTGAAACTTCAAAGCTCTCTGTCAACAATCTGGATAACTTTCTTCTTTGTAAAACAGAATGGCAAAACCAAACTTCAGACATTATCAGTCAGGTTCCAGATGTTCTATAGAAAGCTGGAAGGATTCTTTCTTAATGCCCAGAGCTGTGATACAGGTATTATTGTCTTTTGCTAATATAACTGAAATCTGATGAAGAATAAGACTTTGAAAAGTAGCAATGGTGCTTACTTATAAAACTTTTCTTTGAGTGCCCTGACTACTGGAACTTCAAGAAATACTTTGTAAAGTGGTTATTCCTATTTTTCTCTTTCCTCATAATGGTGGCAATCATAGCTATCTGAGGAAGCCCCCATATATTAAAGCAGAGGTCTTCAAACTTGGCCCTTTTATGACTTGTGGACTTCAACTCCCAGAATTCCTCAGCCAGGAATTCTGGGAGTTGAAGTCCACAAGTCATAAAAGGGCCAGGTTTGAAGATCCCTGTGTTAACGACATTCCAGGGTCATTTTCCATAAATTCTGCCATAATGAAAAGCACCTGGGAAAACTGAAGGGGCAATCTCTCAGCTGATAGCTGGATTCCTAGGAAAATAACCAAGTGCAAAACAGAGGTTTGAGGATGGCAATCCCATTCCTGCACTCTTTTCCTGAAGTGCCAGTGGCTGTCTGGTTTCTCAAACTCCACATCAGAGAAAAGAGAGACATAAATAGAAATTCCTAAAACAACTTCTGAATCAAAGACAGCTAACTGAGAGAAGTTTTTTTCTTAGGAACCAGAAGGAAAATTTCACTCTGACCCTGTACTGAGATTATTTTTATTTATTATTTCACTTTCAAAGCTGTTCTACTCCATAGCAATTCTGGACACTTGAAATAAAAAATTTAAAAGGAAATAACATACACACACACACACACACACACACAAACAAATACAGTTGACTAGAAGACAGAACTAAAAATTAAAAAGAGGCTCAAACACCATCCTAACTCAAGGCTTTGGATAGGAACCAGGTATTTAAAACTTTGTGGAAAATTAAGTGTTGGGAGCAGTATGTCTCTCCTCCTGGTTTGTAAACCCTGGCTTAAAAAAACGAACTAAGGAGAAACTTCCTGACAGTTAGAACAATTAACCAGTGAAACAACCTGCCTCCAAAAGCGGTGAATGCTCCAACACTGGAAGTTTTCAAAAAGAGACTGGACAGCCATTTGTCCGAAATGGTGTAGGGTTTCCTGCCTGAGCAGGGGGTTGGACTCGATGACCTCCAAGGTCCCTTCCAACTTTATTATTATATTATAACAATACAGAAATTGTGATTATTCAAAAACAATATATCACTGTTTACTTTAGTGTAAACTGAGCCTTTCCGTTATATTTATTTGGTTTAATTTACCTGTCTTTTTAGTCTCACAACCTTGTCTTTACACCCTTTAAAAAATCTTTATAATTTAACCAT